TCTGTTGGTGGGAGAGGTTAATTGACTATTACCCCCTAAACAAAGCAGTTTTGCAGGGACAGTAACAAAATTCAGAGTATCTTGTCAAATGATGCTTCTATGCTCTTCTGTTTTAGGCACTGAGATTCTTCAAGCTGCAGCAGGCTAGAATAGGCAAGGAAGTAGGAAGTACGGAATCCAGAAGTTCAGATCCAGACCACTTCTCCTATTATGGACTAGGAGACATTGCTACAACCCCCTCTTATGTCTGGAACATGTGTAAGGGTGCATTAGAGCTATACCTTTCTTTGATGACATGAGTGCAGGCTACAAGCACGACAACTCTATGCATGCTTGCTGAGTGCAGGATCCAAGTACATCCTAAAAGTGGTTGCTGAACGTGCAACTTGCTCATGATGATAACCAGCATGCACCCAATCACTGGAGGACACATGTCCCTTCTTCAACATGTGCAGGAGGTTGGGTTAAATTCCCTAAGACAGTGTTCCTGGTGCCCTCCAGATGCTCTGGCCTATAACTCGCATCATCTCCTGACAGTCGGCAAGCAAGCCAAGGCTGATGGGAATAATACTCTGTGTTAGGGAAGGTGCTTTGTTGTCTCCAACTTTCCATGAGCACCAAACCAGAAGCTCTACTAATATGAGGGCCCTTCCTGGGGACTAGGAGATCATGTTGATTTCAATTTCTGATTCCCTGTGCTTGAACTCTTTGGCCTCAAACAAAGAGTGCCCCTCAAGTTGTGCAGAAATTCAGTTATTTTGTGTGTTTGAATGCGAGACTAACCTAACATAAATCGTTCGCTGAAACAGCATCCTTCATTGTGATAATGCTGAGAAGACAATTGCTGGTACCCAACTTTCTGCTTAACTGTCCACTGTTAAGACAAGTGTGGAAAGTGGTCTCCTTCCTGTAGCTAGCAGAGTACAGAAGGAGGGATCAAGGCACAGATGGGAACTGGACAAATTGAGCTTGCTCTTAAAGAAATAAAAACATTTGGATTGTTAATTGCTGGTGCTGGTCCCTTGTAAAGGAAGAGCAGGTTGCTCGTTGTTGGCACATGCTTTTGATCTTGCTGGTGGATGGTTATCTCTTGCAGTTAGACAAGCAAACATTTAGGCCAGCTGGGGTTAAAGTCCCTGACACTGGGACATTGGCCCTCAGGTACTGCTCTTTCAACATATTTGCTTTCTTCATGACCATTGGCTTTTATTTGAAAATAACAGGATCTTACCAAAACTCACGATTAGGTGGTTTGTTGATACAATCTATTATGTTCATAATGCCAATGTGTTTCACATTTGTGTGACTCGCTAAAAAAATTAAGTGTTTTTGTTATTAAAGCGACTGATTATGGGCACCTGTTTGGTCTGCATGATGAAAGAATGCAAGTTCTTCATTTATCTGCATGCCCTGATAGTAGTTGGCTTAACCCTCAACATTCTAAAGGAAATGTAAATGCCCATTTTGGAATGTTCATGCTCTTGAATCTATGCAACTTAACCCTTTAGTTACAGCTTTCCAAACCTATCAGTGTAAAGGTTGAGCCAATGTGGTGTAGTGGTTAAGAGCATGGGACTGGGACTCAGACGACCTGGGTCCTAGTCCCCGCTCAGCCATGGAGCCAACTGGGTGACTTTGGGCCAGTCACAGACTCTCAGCCCAACCTACCTCACAGGGTTGTTGTTGTGGGGATAAGATGGAGGAAGAGATGTAAGCTGCCTTGAGCCCTTTGTAGGAAAAAGGCAGGATATAAATTGAAAAATAAAAATAAATAAATAAATAAATAAACTTTTGAAATCCTTCAATAACCAGTTATGTTTGAAGACGCAGGTTAGCAGCCCTGCCATAAGGCAGAATCCAGTGGGGGACTTGTGCTCCTGCCAATTCAGTTCTAGGCTGCTGGTTGTGTTGCACCCACTGCTTGCACTTTGCTGATTTAGCACTTCTGGGGTAAGCCAAAATGGAAAACTCCCTTCTGGAAGGAAGCAGGCCAGCAGTGCTCTGAAAAGAAAGCTCCATAGACCAATCTCTTTCCAGAAACAAATATTTCTGGTCATTTCAAGGTTTTCTCTAGGAAGTCCTACATTTCCTATGCATAAGAATTGGGTCCCACTTGTGCAATGCAATCAGCAGGACCCACTGCTTGAGGAAGGGAATAAGTGGGGCAGGAAAGTATCAGTGGGGGAATAAGCGACTGCCTTTACGTGTTCATTTTTCATGCATGGTTTGTCTTCCTTTCTCTTCTATAAACAAGGCATTTCTCTCTGGTATTGGTCGTCTTTTCATCTTGGTAAGCAGACACTTATGTTAGACTCTGGGGCTTTGTGGGGATACTAAAAAGAACCCAAAGAAGTTGGGAGAGGAGAAGTGCAGCCCAGGTGGCAGGTGGATGAGCAACAGGTTTGGTCTTCACTGATGGGGGTGCCGCTTCCACTACTCCTATCCATAAATGCAGCAAAGCCCTATTGAATGTGGGGTAACTGGAAGGTCACCTGGCAAAAGCAAGCAGAGAAATAACTTAGTAGGGGATAAGGAGTGTAGCAGGTTTAGCAATCAGCACAGCATAATGCCGCACTTATATTGTGTAAATAGACACAACAAGATAAACATCCATCTGAGACTGGATGGAGAAATTTGTAAATTGATGAGCAAATTACCTTTTTTGTTGGGCTAAGTTAACCTATAACCTATTAAAATTAAAATGAAGAAAAAGAAGAAATTGGAATAAATACTCATAAAAATATAATAATATACCTGAGACTGAAAATAATAAGGCAAAATAATTTAAAGGAAGCAATCCTTGTTAGGTATGGCTCTTTTCTTTTCTTTTCTTTTCTTTTCTTTTCTTTTCTTTTCTTTTCTTTTCTTTTCTTTTCTTTTGGGTGAGTAGCAGAGGGTCAAAGGAGATGTTATCTTAGAGTGGCAAGTAAAGCTAACTTTGCAATCACAGAACTTTGTGTATCCCATCCCTCACAAATGGTTTTTCCCTTGTTGTTCCACTGAACAGTCTTTCTGCACACAGACACGTGCCTCCCCAGGGCTCCAGGTCCACGCTTACCTCAGAAACACAGCCACGTATCTTTAAGCACACAGGACAGAAAATGCACTTGGGGGAGGGTAGACTTAACTGAAAAATGGCCGATGGGGAACGTAGGCATCTCCTCCACCAGTTTGTCCTCTGCAAACCACACCTTTCTGAGGCTGTTTTGCCAAGGAAAAGAAGCTGGCAAATGAACCAGACCTATCAATTCGTATCTAGTTTGGACAGAGCCAGTTGGTAAAAGAAATTGATGGATAACCACAGCTTCTTTTTAAAAGGATGGAGATAAGATACAAGCACATTCTGGAATGACAACTCTCCTCTAGGTTTTCTAGTGCTCAATGCTCAGCTCTCTTTGATGTACAGAAGGACACCTCTTCTAGTAAGGGAAATACTTAAATGACTTGTGGGATGGGAACTACCCCTGGGCCGAAAAATGTTCTCCAAGCACCACGAAGCATCCAAATGGCAGTAGAACCAACGCAATGTAATACCTCCTCCCATTCCTAGCTTAGGCTGTCATCTGAGAAGAATACCACAGTTATGCGTTTGATGTTTTGCTGTTGCTTTATCGTGGTGCTTCTTCAAATCCTTTTTATACTTTTTTTTAAAATGGGAGCTTTCCTTTTAATATTAGTGTAGCCTTATTTTTATGCTAATGGCAGAAAGAGAGGAGAAACTAAAGAGTCTTTTGATGTGGGTGAAGGAGGAGAGTGCAAAAGTTGGCTTGAAACTCAACATTAAGAAAATGAAGATCATGGCATCTGGTCCTCTCACTTCCTGGCAAATAGATAGGGAAGAAATGGAGGTAGTGACAGATTTTATTTTCCTGGGCTCCAAGATCACTGCAGACGGGGACTGCAGCCAAGAAATTAAAAGATGCTTGCTCCTGGGGAGGAGAGCTATGGCACATCTATACAGCATACTAAAAAGCAGAGACATCAACCTGCCGACAAAAGTGCATATAGTCAAGGCTATGTTTTTCCCAGTTGCCATGTATGGCTGTGAAAGCTGGACCATAAGGAAGGCTGAGCGCCAAGAATTGAGGTCTTTGAATTGTGGTGCTGGAGGAGACTCCTGCGAGTCCCTTGGACTGCAAGGCGATCAAACCAGTCAGTCCTAGAGGAGATCAACCCTGACTGCTCTTTAGAAGGCCTGATACTGAAGATGAAACTCAAATACTTTGGCCACCTAATGAGAAGGAAGGACTCACTGGAGAAGAGCCTAATGCTGGGAACAATAGATGGCAAAAGAAGAAGGGGACAGCAGAGGATGAGATGGCTAGATGGAGTCACTGAAGTAGTTGGTGTGAGCTTGACTGGACTCCGGGGGATGGTGGAGGACAGGAAGGCCTGGAGGAATGTTGTCCATGGGCTTGCGATGGGTCTGACACGACTTCGCGACTAACAACAATATTTTTATGCTTCTAGGTCTTCATTGCTGGATGAGCTCCATAAAGGTAGCTTCTACATATTTAAATATAACCAACCAGCCAACCAACTAACTAAACACAGATCATACTCCCTCTGCTGGCCCTCTTATCATTTGTGAATTGTTGGAGGGCTTGAGTGTAGTCCCACTAGTTCAATATGGTTTACTCATGCCATGAAGAAAAAGAGTCACTCAAATGGACCCTTAGCTTACTTGCAGGATCAAATTATTAATATTCCTTGCAATCATACTTCTGGGATGGTTTACAAAACTATAATAAATTGCAAATACGTATAATACAGCAAGTAAAATGACAAAAGCAGTACAAAAACAGTCAGTGGGATTAACACTGCATCCAAAAGCATTTGGAGAGGGTGGAGGAATCTTTGCTTAGTTCTAAAATTGCAAGTGAACCTCTCAGGAGCAAAGTTCAAAATTTGTTGCATCACATTTTACTCTCTGCTCCCCTGCAATAGCATATATTTACTTTCTTTAATGGTCAGCAATGACGACTGGGCATATTACCATTCTGGTGCATAAATTATTTTGTCCATAATTGTTTGGGGAAGCAACAGCATTGACCAGCTGATTATCTCAGGGAAATTTCAGAGATTCTGTAAGTATGATATACATTCTTCTTTACTTTGGTATTTATCTGTTAGGCAGGGCGCACAGCTACATGCAGCGAAGGTCAGAATTTAGGATGCAGAATCTCAGAACATAGTTGCAGGGAATAACTTCTACTCCAGTAAAACACTTCAAAAGCAAATGAAAAGCTTGGATATTCCAGAAAAAGCCTCTAAAGTGGGGCAACGTGAATGCTGCACCATGCTTGCTTATGAGAATAGTTTATTGTTGCAGCTCTCAAAATCTTTTAATGCCGTTGGGGTTTTTTTTTTTTTTTTTTACGTTTTTAAAATGGAAGGTTTCATTGTGATAATATATTATGGTATTTATATTTTTATTTTTGCATTCTTCATTGTGATATAATCCTAAATCTCAGAATATATTCTATTCCCAGTAAATCATTTTAAAACCAAATGGGAAGCTTGGGTATTTCAGAAAAGGTGTTCGGCATGGACCAGTGCCAATAGGGATCCAGTTTGCACTTGGTCATGGCAGAGGCCGACACTGAGTTTCTCTTCTGTAGTTTCCATATAGCCTCAAGTGTTTGATCCTGCCTAATCTTAAAACAGAACATAGCCAGGTATGTTGAGTATTTGGATGGGAGAATTAAGTTCTGCATGAAGTAGGGGATTGGACCCTATGGCCTTCCAGGCCTCCTTCAACTGTATGATTCTGTTCTGTTCTATTCTGCTGTGAAAAGCAATAGCATAATATTGCCATTATTATTACTGATGCATACTGAGTACCTCGTACATCTCCCCACACCCAGCTGACTGCTAAAATTCTTAATAAATAATCATTTGAAATTCTTGCTCGGTCATGTATAGGGCTAAATGGCTAAACACTGAGATGCATTAGTGGGGCAATCAAATTCTACTGAGGTAAATGGCAAACCCCCACTGATATTCTAATAGAACTGAGATGCCCTTCATTCCTCTTAGTGTATAAAATGTGTACTTAGTGTATCAAAATGTACAAGGTGTCCACTCTGGAGCTGCCTGAAGACAAATAGACAGGCTTGTCATACAAATCTGAAATAGGGGATGCATAAAAAATGGATTTTTATTCATTTTCACAAGAAGCTACCCAGTTTACCCAGGAACTGAATGTGAGTCCAAACACAATCTGTAGGTGAAGTTCATATGTTTCTGAGATCAAGTCTGATTTGCCAAAAAGTGCCTGAGAAAGTGCATACATTTGCAAAAAAAAAAATAAAAGCACTTAATTCAGTGAGAAAGATGCACATAATTACCTAATCTTGAAAATGAGATGATAATTCCAAGCACGGGATTGGGATCTGGATCTTGGAAGTGGTTAACGCTTCTCTGAGGGAGGGTTGGGTACCTGCCCCTTTAAAGGAGGCGGTAGTCCGACTGGTCCTGAAGAAGGCATCACTAGATCCAGAGATGGCCACTAACTATAGACCAGTGGCCAACATCCTGTTTCTGGGCAAGGTGTTAGAGCAAGGGTAGTGGCGGGACAACTCCAAGCACTCTTGTATGAAACTGATTATCTGGACCCATTTCAGTCCGGCTTCAGACCCAGGTACAGTACTGAATCTGCCTTGGTCGCCCTGTACGATGACCTGTGCAGGGAGAAGGACATGGGGAGTGCGTCCCTGTTGGTTCTCCTGGACCTCTCAGCGGCTTTCGATACCATCGACCATGGTATCCTTCTGGATAGGCTAGCGGGATTGGGGGTAGGAGGCACTGCTTTGCAGTGGTTCCGCTCCTATCTCAATGGCCGGTTCCAGAAGGTGGTGCTGGGGGACTATGGCTCTGCACCATGGCAGCTATGCCATGGAGTACCGCAGGGGTCCATTTTGTCCCCTTTGCTGTTCAACATCTACATGAAACCGCTGGGAGAGGTCATCAGGAGGTGTGGGCTGCAGAATCATCAGTACGCTGATGATACCAAGCTCTACCTCTCGTTGTCCACCAATCCGGGTGAGGCAGTGGCTGTACTGAACCGGTGCCTGGCCGAGGTAATGGGCTGGATGAGGGAAAATAAACTGAAGCTCAATCCAGACAAGACGGAGGTCCTGTTGGTTGGCGGATCGGGCTTCGGAGAGGGTGAATTGAACCTAGTCCTGAATGGGGTTGCACTCCCTCTTAGGGACAAGGTCCGCAGCTTGGGAGTACTCCTCGACCCGCAGCTTTCACTGGAAGCTCAGGTGACAGCAGTGGCAAGGAGCGCTTTCCTCCAGCTTTGGCTGATTCATCAGCTGCGCCCCTACCTGGAGTACGACTGCCTGGCGACAGTGACACATGCGCTGGTGACTTCCCATCTTGACTTCTGCAACGCGCTCTACATGGGGCTACCCTTGAAGACGGTCCGGATACTTCAATTGGTTCAAAATAGAGCTGCCAGGCTGCTGACGGGGACTGGGCATTTTGTTCACATGACTCCAGTTCTCCGTCAGCTTCACTGGCTTCCCATTGAAGTCCGGGCCCAATTCAAGGTGTTGGTGATGACCGATAAAGCCCTAAACGGCTTGGGGCCTGGTTACCTGAAGGAGCGCTTATGTCCATATATGCCCACCCGCCCCTTGAGATCTGCGGGAGAGGCCCTTCTCCGGGAACCCTTCGTGAAAGAAATCAGGAGGGTGGGTACTCGGAGGAGGGCTTTCTCTGCAGTGGCACCTAACCTATGGAATACGCTCCCCGGAGAGGTCCACCTGGTGCCGTCATTATTTGTTTTTTGGTGCCAGGCGAAGACCTTTTTATTTAAGTGTCATTTTAACTGTTAATATTATTGGATTTTATCTGGCCAGGGCGACTTATTTTATATTGTTATTTTTTATATTTTAACTTAATGTTTGCATCTTACAAACATTTAAACTTAATGTTATAACTTAATGTTTGTATTTTAATTTAATGTTGTGAGCCGCCCCGAGGCTTCGGCGAATGGGGCGGCATACAAATGTTTTAATAAATAAAATAAATAAATAAATAAATAATTCTTTTTAAATGAAAATGTTGCTCATAGACATTATGCATTTTTCAGAATATATGGTAGGAAGTTTGGAAACTAAAATTAAAATAAACCCAAGCATCTATTTGCTATGGAGTGCATGAATAATTATTTTAAAATGATGATAATATTGAAAAGAAAAACAGTTTGAAAAACAATGGTAGATTAAAAGTACATTCCCATATAAAATATACTGAAACTAAATTCCAAAATTACCTGTACAAGAAAGATCAATTAATTATGGTGTGGAACTAAGCAGATCAAATAACGATCTACCATTCCCAAATGTCTCATTGTAATTTCATCCTTCAGTGTCTTCCACAGGATTTACTGGGCAGAACCATTGCAAATCCCAATGAAGTTCATAATTTACCTTTCCTTGCTGCTTGGTTTTCATGCCAATGGTTTTCAACTCCAAGGAGATCAACCCTCCATTTTGGACAACTGGGCAAAGAAGACCACAGACTCTCATAAGATGGCTTCCATCAATGCTGCCTTTGCATTTAGATTCTACAAGCACATCGCCGCAGATGTGGCTGACAGAAATGTCTTCTTTTCTCCTGTGGGCCTCTCCACAGCATTTGCAATGCTTGCCCTGGGTGCTGAATCTGAAACAAAGAGCCACATTTACAAAGGACTTGGCTTCAACCTGTCTGAGTTTGAGGAATCTGAGATACAGAAAGGATTTCAACATCTCCTCCACAATCGTCCATATATCAAACCAAATGAAACCATATGGACTGAAGCAGAGGTAAAAATAGGGAATGCCTTGTTTATAGAAGAGTCCTTGAAGGTTCTACCCAAGTTTTCGGAAGATATCAAAAAGCGATATGATGCTGAAGTCTTGTATTGCAACTTCGACAATTCCACAGCAGCTCTCAAGCAAATGAATGATTATGTACACAATAAAACTGACGGGGAAATAGCACGGGTAGTTGAGGGGCTTGAACCAAAGACCACACTTGTTTTTCTGAACTTTATCACCTTCACAGGTATGTTGAGGAATATTAGATATTTAAGGCAGCGGGAAATATTTTGCCAATGAGGCACAGCAAGAGGATTGTCTTGCTTCAACTTAAATGGTCTTGCAGGCTATTGTAGCAGTAGTATAAACTATGAAGGCATGGTGGGGAGTCCAAATGCATGGTTGGAGTTTGGCAAGAAATGTGGCAGAATTTAATAGGTGCCTTTCTTATTTATTTTTTTTAAATGGCAATTTCTTCATCATAATTTTGTGTCTGCAGGGTAAGAAATAATTCTGGGATTTTTCAAGAGAAATGTTTAAGTGTTTATATGTTTTGAAATGTAGCAAAAGCCCCAAATTCTTAGCTGACTCAGATTAAAACCCACACAGTCCTACCCTCTGCTACTCCCCACAAATGACAAGTTTAGAAACATAGAAACAGGGTGAATTAGGGCCATCTAGTCTGACCCCTGGCTCCAGCTGTCTCCATTCATGGCATGCCTACCATGTGCATATCCAGCCTATCCTTAAACACCATCACTCATGGGGCTTTAACCACCTCCCATGGAAGCCCATTCCATACCTTAGGGGGGTCCTAACCATTAGGAAGTACTTCCTGGCATCCACCTTAAATTTTGTTCCCTGATCTTTGCTGCATTGGAATGCGCCCTGCCCTCCACTGCAGGGGAAAAAAGGTCATGACCCACCTCTGGGTGGCACCCCCTCACATACCTGTATGGCGCTAACAGGTCCCCTCTGAGACTCCACCTCTCAAGGCTGAAAAGACCCAGCTCGTTCAGTCCCTCCTCATACGGCTTTCCCTGCAAACCAGCCACCATCCTTGTGGTCCTTCCCTGCACTGATCCCAACCTTGAACTTCCAACCTTGTTCATATGAACATTGGTCCAAGGAATCCATTATTGTTGACACTAACTGGCAGATACTTTCCAAGATGTCGGACGGGGGGGGGGGGGGGGTTTCCTAGTCTTACCTGGAGATGCCTGGAGCCGACCCTGCAAACTTCTGCATGCAAAGCATGAAAACCACACAGGCACTCTTGAACCTTGATAAAACATTTTGGAACTTTCAGTTTAGCTTCTAGTTTAAAGCGGAAAAGAACCATGAAATAAGGGGTACTTCTAGAAGGCATGAAGCTGTACTCAGGGCATACTTGTTTTAGTGTCTGGCTTTACTTGTTACTGCTTCTGCTATCCTGATCGATGTGGAAGCAGCTTGCACAGTTCAACTTGTGGTTAATATCACACAAGTTCTAGGACCCCATATCTACTTGATTCCCATAATTAACCATGCAAATTTTATGCCTAAATTTGACTATTTGGAATCAATTTTCACACTATATTATCTAATCTTTATTTCCAAAGCTGAGTGGAAACTGGCTTTTGACACAGCCTCAATCAGGGAAGAAGATTTTTTTGTAAATGAAAGCAAAACTGTGAAAGTCAACCTAATGCACCAAGAAAGCTATTACAAATTTCTCCATGATGAAGTTCTTTCCTGCTGGGTAGTAGAAATTCCCTTCAGAGGAGATGGCATAGCAGAAACTTACAAAGGAGACAGCATAGTAGCATTGTTTATTCTGCCAGATGAAGGAAAACTGAAGCATTTGGAAGGTGCTTTGACAGAAGAGGCTATCACTAAGTGGACATCATCTTTTGCAAGTTCTGCATATGAGTAAGTCTTGTCAGTCCTGCTCATGCATCCTGTTTCCTTTAAATGATTATTTCATATAGCATGGTGCAAAATTAATGGGGTGCCTCAAAAGGATGCTTTGGGGTGTATATGAATTGTAGCTTCAGTTAGGTAAAGAGGAAGCGGTTTTCGGTGCATTCGTCTAAAAGTAATACCTTGCTTCTCTAAAAAAGATGGAAAAGACAGCTTAAGTTAAAAATACAATGAAATCACATAGCTACCCGAAGGGAATTTTGCAGCCTTGGTCCTGCTGTTGAAAAACCCTGGCTGTGTATCACAGCCAGCTGAACTTCTGGTCAAAGGTCTCCTGGGATAAACACAGTAGGCTCATGATGAAGAAGCAAGTTTTCTAGTTGTCGAACCCAAAGCAATTTACTGGCAACAATCAGCAGTTCAAGTTATGGATGGAAATGAAATAGCAAACGGATAACACTTTAAATAGAATGGATGGGGTGACCATTTAAGGCTGAAGGCAATTTCCTAGAGCTCAGAAATGTACTACAGATGTCCTCTTCAAGAACATTTCATCTGTGAAGTTGAATATTAACTGGATATTTTGTGAAGTGTCAATATTTCCTTTATATATGCTTCATATTTGACATTAACACTAGGGATGTGTGGGGGATCTGTTAGGGTTCCCACTGGATTCCCTGAGCTCTGCTCCCCGGACTTTGGTCTGTTTTGCAGTAGTATTTGTATGGCGCATGCCAGAAATTGAGCCCACGTAGCTGCAGCTGATGCCCAAGAAGGCTGGTTTATTTATTTAAAACATTTCTATGCCACCCCCATCGCAACAAAGCCTCGGGGTGGCTCACAGCATTCATAAATGTTGTGAGGGGCTTGCCAGGAAAGCGGACCTCAGGACCTCTGTGCAAAGAGCACTCCTCTTCTGCACCGCCTGCAGCAGGCACTTGGGCTGCTACAGCTGATGCAGGAGAAGGTTGCTGCTTGTGCGCCTGGGGCTTGGTGAGCCTCTGCAGGCTCCATCTCAGCTTGGCTCTCTTTGGAAGATGTGGGAGAAAGAGCATAAATTCTCTCCTAGTTTCTCAGCCTGGACAAAAAGCAGTTATATGCAGATAGTGTAGAAAAGATCGAAGAGAGCCTAATTTTAACAAGCATTTTAATATTTTACGATATTTACAGCTTACACAGATATGGGCACAATCCTATGGAGAGACGCCCAACTAGGGTCAGGACGAACCCTGTCAGAATCCCTCTTCTAGCATCTGTGGGCTTCCTCTGTGCTGTGCCTAGTCCTGCAAAGTGAGCTGAGCCCAGCAGATGTCCATGAAAGCTCCTAGGCCCCAGCGGCACAACTGGCAGCCTTCCCAGTCACATGCAGAGCAGGGACACTGCTGGCAATCATGCCAGGGATGACGTCTGGAGACCAGCCTTCTTTCCCTCCCAGTGCATCTGCCATGGAAAGAGGGGCACTGTTATGGTCACGCCAGATGCCATTCCAGTGACCCAGCAACTGGCCGCTTTCTTGCTCAATGCAGCCAGCAGGAGGAGCACCAGGCGGGGCCCAGCTGCTGGCAAGCGCCCTGCAAGTGTTGGGAGAAGTTGTTGGGAACTTGGACTCAGGGCTGCTGCAAAGCGGACTGGAACCTGGGGAACTGATCCTAGAGAATCCCATAGATCCCCACCCATAGCCCACCAAACATGGAAGATCATGGGGAAGGCTGGGAGAAGCACAGTGGTGAAGATTGCATCCACCTCTTATCTATCTATCTATCTATCTATCTATCTCTATCTATCTATCTATCTATCTATCTATCTATCTATCTATCTATCCTGCCTTTTTCCTACAAAGGGCTCAAGGCAGCTTACATCATTCTCCTCCTCCATCTTATTCCCTCAACAACAACCCTGTGAGGTAGATTGGGCTGAGAGTCTGTGAGTGGCCCAAAGTCACCCAGTTGGCTCCATGGCTGAGCGGGGACTAGAACCCAGATCGCCTGAGTCCCAGTCCCTGCTCTTAACCACAACGCCACTCTGGCTCTTTTCACTCTGCAAAGTGCAGAGATCACTGATTTTAGCTAACTATGGTGCTTCAGTGTAATAAGGAAGAGCTGACATGCCAGCATGATATGTCCATCCCTCCCATTCCCTTCTCTACCTGCTTTTCCAAAGCCTTGGAGAAGCAACCGGCAGGGTTCCTTTTGCACCAGCTGTACTTTAGCAGCATCAGTCCATAATCCCACAGAGGCAGTGGGGAAACAAAACATCAGGTGATCAAAGAACAAGTGAGAAACCTTGTGGTAGCATAACGGAGCACATGGAAAGGCAGAGAAAGAAAAGAAAAGCCCTGGTGAGGGGAAACATGTACAGGAGCCAGTCTTATTCCCACTAAGAATCCAAATGCAGATGAAGTGGTGAGTTAAAAGCTCCATGCAGAGATGCTTTCGGACATCACAAACACAGCACATGTTTCTGAACATTGGTTGAACAATACCATGTGTACCTTTTTATGTAATATTTGGGTGGTAGCTCAGTGTTGGTTGTCCGATACAATCACAGGTGGGCAGTCATTTAAAACTTGGAACGTTTTGATTTTTACCTACACAGTGAGCTCCATCTATACATTCCGAAATTTTCCATTTCTGCATCCTATGATGTGAAGGACGTTTTCCAGGGAATGGGTATGACTGATGCTTTTAATGACAGAGCTGATCTGTCTGGGATTACTGGAGAGCACAATCTGAAGGCTCCCAAAGTAAGTATGTGGGTAGGACTGGGATATATGGTCCTGGCTTTTCCTTTAACAAATTCTTGTAGACATAGAGAAAGGTGAGAAGCAAGGTAAAAGAAAATGTGAGCCCCTCTTGAGAAAAACGACAAGTGTTCTGGGAAAAAAGACAACTATTCCTGTGTACCCAAAAGGGTTCTTACCCCTGGTTTATGGTCTAATCTCAAGAAATGGTGGGTAGGGCCATTGCTCCTGACAGAGATTAACACAAGTAGGAATTGTTGAGCAGTGGTAGCAGTCTTTGATAGCCTGGATGCAAGTCCTGTTCAGAGCTATAAAGGTGATGACCAATACCGCAAATTGTGCTTGGAAGCAAACTGGAAACTGAATCATGGTGATGTACTCTTGGAAGGACCCCCCCCCCGCCCCCAAACCTAACAGCATCATTCTGTAGCAGGCATAGTTTCCAAACGCTCTGACAGAGTCTGTTGCAACCACCAGAATATATGCTAATATAAGCAGAGGCCTCAAGCAAGGCTCCTTGGCATAAGAAAAGCATTCTTGAACCTGCCTTTCTATGTCATCAGTGAAGTATCGTTCTCTCCTTGCAGGTCATCCACCATGCAGTTCTGCATCTTCGGGAGAGCGGCACTGAGACATCGGTTGTCACTACTGTATGGAGCAAAAAAACATTTCCTCCAGTTTCTCCGCCTCCTACCCTCAAATTTAACAGGACCTTCCTGATGGTCATTGTTGAACTGGAAACAAATAACTTTGTCTTTATGGCAAAGGTTGTGGACCCAACGGAAGGGTGAATGTTACTGGATCAGCCACCAGGCAGTGCTCTGTGCCATCCATTCATCAGAGGGACCCACAGCCAGTGCAATGGAAGGCTAGCAGTTCTCAATGGAGCTGGAAATGCTTCATTTCCAGAAGGGGGCAGCAGGCGGATCTTGCAGAAGGGACCTCTGCTGACCTGCCATGCTGACGGCGCCACTCTTTTCTGGGCTGGCTTCAGGGAGCACCAATTCGCTGCGGCACTGGAGGCCCCTGTGCAGCAGAATGATTTGCAGTGGGGCTGCTGAATGCCGCTTGCTCTGCTTGCTGCTGAGTGCAGAATGCTGGCTTTGTACAACACCTGTGCTAAGATTGGCTGCTTAATGCCAGGCACACCGAACAGCTGCTGTGCTGCTCCCTACAAGACTGAGGTGGACATGCTTCCCACCCCAGCCCCTTCTCTCATGGACAGGGACTTTCCTTGCCCCCCTCCATCTCCTAGGCAACTGGGGTGAGTGGAAAGGCCCCTCAGGCAATAACCTGTGTGTGATTACATGTTAGAAACACACATCTGCGAATGTGAAAACGTGATGTTTATACAGGGTGGTGCAGGGAAAGGGGAAATTTTCAACTGACATTCAATGCACGAATAAACACATTACAAAGTACATTTTATGAAGGAATTTATTGTACAGGATATGCAATGAATGATGGTAATCAATATTCATTTTATGTCTTGAAGATAACATCATGAAGGGTTGTCTATCTCTCTGTACACATCCTGATAGCCCGTTGTGGAAATTCTGTATTGCTCGATGCAACAAGTCAAGATTTTCCTCTTCAGTCTTCCTTCTGGTTGCAGGGCGTGCGCTGTACACTTGGCTTTTAAGATGTCCCTACAGAAAAAAATCACAGACAGTGAGATCTGAGGATCTCAGAGCCCATGGGATGCCACTGTTGAACACCACCTGAGGACTTCTTTTTTAAGGCTGAATCTGTTTCTTCAAAATTAGGCACCCTTGTTGTAATCACATGAGCAGATGGGACATGATCATGATGTCCGAACTGGTAATGGCACCGAAATTCCCTTTGCACAGCAGTCACACTATCACAATTCTTATAACAGACTTTTACAGCAAACGCTTGATGTGCACCACTCCACTGCTCCATTACAACTAATGGCAAGGTGTTCTAGTCAAGGTCGCACCAGTTCCAAACAATTGCTGACGCCGTAGGGTCGCCAACTCCTAGCTTCAAAATTTCCCGTTTCCCTGCACCACCCTGTACATATTGTTGACCTCTTGTGGAACCCCAAGTGACATTTCTTGGAACTCTGGTTGAGAAAGGCTGGTACAGAGCAATACAAGCATCACTAAGATGGAACAGCATCATTAACTTAATTTGAAGTCATGTTGCTCATGTGTATTTTCCAGAGGTGTTTCAGACATGCCACAATTTTTGTTTCCAAAACTACCTGTAAGTTTGGCACCACTCCCAAGAGGTGGCAAGGTTTGCTGTGGAAATATTACATGGTGACATTCTGTTCGTTTTAGAACAACTAGTGGAGCCGCCTTTGAAAATCTTTAACTTGGCTGGTTATAAATTCTTTAACTTGGCTGGTCAGATATGATGGCCCCAAGCTGTTTCTTGGGCTTGCATGGCAAGAATATGGCCTTGGACACAGCCCTGTAGTTAATTTGCAACCAGTGCAAGTTCCTTTAACATGGCTCTTCTGTGAACACAACCGGGTGTCCCCAGCTACTGTATTCTGCACTAGCTGAGGTTTCTGAACCACATACAAGAGCACATACAAAGTTCAAGAACAGCCCCACAGGGAGTGTATTGCAATACTTTCATCATGGGGTTACCAGGACATGGACCCCATGGCTAGGCTGTCCCCACCCAGATATGGGTCTAATTGGCACACCAACTGAAGCTGGGCCTCATGTGAAAGATGGATTCAGGAAAATTCCCAGGCTGCACAGCAACTCATCGGAGCGCATGCAAGCCCACCCGGAAAAGGCTCAGTTCCCAGAGCTGGAAACTGCAGCCCAGAGGGTCTCTGCCTTATCAGGAGGTTATTTATCCAGGATCAACATTTGTGAGGAAGGTTTTGCTGCATCCTGCTTTGTAGCTGAGCCGAGCTTGTGTTGCAAATTGTGGATTCTGTCCTGTGGAGGAGAAAAATCAATGGCACAGTAAAATAATTTACTGATCAAACAGAGCAACCCTGCTTGGTTGGGGAAGGAAAACGGGGGGGGGGGGGGATTTTGTTACTTCTTCCTCCCCCCACCCCATTCATGTGCCCCTCCTCCACTGCTTCCAAAGGCAAGGACAAATAGCAGCTTTAAGTGTCTTTTTTGCACAAAGGATATACATTTAATAAAGGATATAAATTTAATAAAGGGAGTGTAGTGTAGTGGTTTGAATACTGGACCAGAATTCTGGAGATCTCTAGTATTATAGAAGTGTTGCATAAGGAATATACTGTCAGGGCAATGAATCCTAATAGTAGGATGTGATGCTTAAAGGAGGAGAGTTGTGGTAGAGACATACTGTATTTTTCGCTCTATAAGATGCACTTTTTTCCCCCTCAAAAGTAAGGGGAAATGTCTGTGCGTCTTATAGAGCGAATATGTGTGTGCAGTAAGTCTGTCAGATGTGCTGCATGGTGTGCCCGACACCTGGGACATATAAGACCACCACCGGGACGCTGTAGGCCCGCCTGCACCACATGGCACCACCTGGCCGGCACGCTCTCGGCGTGTCCTGCTCCGCCCCCCCCGGCGCACATGAGAGCTGTGCCGCTCAGGGGGAGGGGTGCGGAGCAGGAGGAGCCGTGGGCTTTAACCTGCCGGCCACCACGGAGAGACGGACTGCGATGGACTGCCCACCCCCACTGCCCACAAGTCGGTGTGTGTTTTCAAATGGTAGTGGTGAAGAGCGTGGGACTGGGACTCAGACGACCTGGGTTCTAGTCCCCGCTCGGCCATGGAGCCAACTGGGTGACTTTGGACCAGTCACAGACTCTCAGCCCAACCTACCTCACAGGGTTGTTGTTGTGGGGATAAGATGGAAGAGGAGAATGATGTAAGCTGCCTTGGGCCCTTTGAGGAAAAAGGCAGGATATAAATCACAAAATTAAAAAAAAAAAAAGCCCGTCTTTTAATGAAGCCCATGGGGAAGTGATGGGGAATGTGCCTGTGATTATCAGGAAGCTTTCCATGGATCAGAACGGTGCCTGCTTTACAGAAGGACCAATATCTGTTAGTTGATCAGACACATTTTTTTTAGGATCAGTGGATATTTGAACAGCATTACCTTCGTATATGAAGTTTATTCTTCAAATGCTACTTAGTCCGCTGCGTGTTTGATTTACCGTACAATATCTCATTTTTTGTCAGAAGGTTTTTTTTATTATTTACTAGTAGGGCAGCGTGGACATTACTGGCTTTTTTAGATTTGTTATTGAATTGTCTGCAGCAGCTCTTGTATAACTGGTGTAGATTGTGGATTCCTTCAATAATTCCACTACTGACTGCAAATTTTTTGAGATTCAGCAATGCAGATAGTAATGGCATATTATTCTAGATAAAATGTGTCTGCTGAGTATGGTAATAAATGTCATTTGGAATGTTCTGTGTGTCATCATCTGGCCAATAGATTGTCACTGGGAAATGTCATACCGTATATTACTATATAGCTGTTATGTATAGTCCTTGTACATGTATAGTCCTTGTACAGAGTGAATACGGTATACTGCATCATTTGACCATTTTGCACTGAGGTTTTCTGGTGCATTACTGACAGTTCCTTCATCACTGTACCTTCTTGTAGAAAACCTCCCCCATTCCACATACAAGGATGATAAAGCAGAAAAGACTAGCATATAAGATTCCTTTTAAACTAGAGGTAGTAGACTATGCTAAGGAGCATGGAAACAGAGCAGTGGAGAGACATTTTGGGCCACCTCCAACTGAAAAAATAATAAGAGAGTGGAGGAAATAGGAGGATCAGCTGCAAAAAGTGAATAAAAGTAAGCACACTTTTCATGGGAATTCTGCAAAGTGGCCACAGTTAGAGGTGGCCATGAAAGAATGGATCACACATCACCGGAATAATGGCTTCTCAGTCTCTACAAAAATGATAATACATGAAGCCAAACGCATTGCTGTAGAGAAAGGCATTCACGATTTTACTGGATCACCATCGTGGTGCTACAGATTTATGAGGCGATATGGCCTTGCTATGCACACCAAAGCTAGAATTGCGCAAAAAATGCCAAAAGAATATGAATCTAAGATTCTGTCTTTTCAGAAATTTGTAATTGATGCTAGGAAGAAAAATGGGGTTGAAATCGGCCAGATTGGGAATATGGATGAAGTCCCACTAACCTTTGATGTGCCATCTAATAGGACTGTTGATTTGAAATAGGACTGTTGCCAAAACTATCACTGTGAAAACCTCTGGACATGAGAAAACCCACTACACGGTTGTGTTGTCTTGCTGTGCAGATGGCACCAAATTGCCACCCATGTTAATTTTCAAAAGGAAAACATTTCCAAAAGAAGTGATTCCAAGAGGAGTTGTTGTACATGTTCATGAGAAAGGATGGATGGACGAAAATGGAATGAGAGTATGGGTTGAAAAAGTGTGGTCCAAACGTCCTGGAGGGCTTCTGAAAAAACCTGCCTTATTAGTGCTTGACCAGTTTAGAGCACATATTAGCAAAACTACAAAAAAGTGCTTTAAAGAAGTGAAGACTCATCTAGCTGTCATTCCTGGAGGTCTTACCAGCCAGTTGCAACCTCTCGACGTTTCCATCAACAAACCATTCAAGGTCTTTATGCGAGGAGAGTGGAACAAATGGATGGCTGCTGGTAATCGTGATCTGACACCTACTGGACGAATGAAGAGGCCCACTATCACTCAAGTCTGCGAATGGGTGAAAACATCATGGCACTCACTGAAGGAGGAAATCGTTGTACAGTCATTCAAAAAATGTGAAATTAGCAATGTTTTGGATGGAACTGAAGATGGTATCTTATATGAAGATAGTGAAGAAAGTGATGTCAGTGATTGTGAGCAACAGAGCTTCATAAATTCTGACTCT